TTTTTTAAATGTATTCAATGACTCATAGTAGAATTAACTTGGAGACGAGATTGGATCTGAGACTAGTCAGAGCTGTGACCAATGAGAAGGACTGTTCCTCCTGCTCAATATTTAATGCGACCTTAGCCATGCAGAGTGAAAAGATGCGTTGAAATGGAGCAAGCGCCAAATATGCTAGAGCAGTTATTCTAAAATGCTGGATCCGATCTAGATCAAAACAACAAGTCAATTTAGAATGCAATTGAAATTTTTTATGACTACACAAAGGCACTTTATTCATGATTGCACGAAAATGAATTAAGTTAAATCTATTTTTCCTAAAAAGCAGCCTTCCCTCCCATTTTTCTAGAAATATTCTTGTAATCACAGCATGAAAAAAGCTACACTTCTTGGCACTGGCTAACTCTATAGTAACCATTTTAATGCAGGATTGTGCATTGAATCATTTAAATGCATTTGTTATTCTTAGATAACCATAAACACCAGGTTATATTGTTCGATGACAAACTAACTAGCAAAATTGGAGATGACTGACATCATCCCAGTTTAATTCACCAACCCTTTCAGTAGCCCATGCTAAAGCGGAATGTCAAATATCTCTTCACATTTGACACACAAGTTATATAAGTAACCACTTCAGAACTCCACACTCGTTTTGGACAGGATCTCACTTTAAAAGAAAAGTTGCAAAAGCTGCCAGGCCACAGGTGGAAGGAGTCGAGCCATGACTCATGTAGGCTAAGGTAGTTTCTTCCATAATAAAATGGAAGAGTAGTTGCTTTTTGTATCACTTACCCAAATGTCGTTTTGCTCATATTATAAACAGTCGGTCACCACTCCAGAACTCTTTAGTCCCGTGCAGAAAGGCCCATCATGTTGGGCATAAAGACAGGGTTGGGTTTCAGTGGCATTTTGACATCTCCCGGGGGGAAACCAAATGATGTGCTGGTAGTGTGTGAATATTCCCGACTTCTTTTTGCAGATGCTGAAGCCTGTGGCCAAAAAAGACCAGAGTGAGAGTCGAACAACATCTAGTGGCTAAAACAGAGAGCAGGAGACCGAGATAAGCAACATCATTTCCAACTCCCACAATGACATCAGGGGCCTGGAGATATTAGCAAGCCTAACAAACAGACCAAAAAGATGTTGGCTGGCTGTGTTACCTTCCAAGCCAGCATGGCATGCAGAGATAGAGGCAAAGTTTGCTTGAAGCTGTTTGTTTGTAGATGAACTCCTACAGGAATCACACCGACCAGACACTAAAAGGGAAAATAGTCCCGTCCTGCGCCATAACTTTTCATTTCATACTCACGAACGGAACGAGAAAAGATATCCTTAGCTGATGTTAAGCAGTCCCTGAGAAAATGTTACTATGTCTAACATTCATATTCCTTATCAATAGAAACACATATTCATACCTCACCATTTTTCTATTTCACCACATTAAAATCTGAAAAATTATTGTGATTTTACAGTGTTTAACAGACCAACACCCACTTAATTGTGAGGACAAAGAAAGCTTAAATTAATAATTTAAACGTTTTTAAGCAATTTGAAAAGTTTTGCCTCTACTCCACGACCCTTTCCTCAATGTGTCGTTTAAAAAAAAAAAAGTAAAATGTCCTTAAACACCTTCTTGCAGATCACTGTTTAGGCCTTCATCAAAAAAATGTAGAGTATGCAAACCTACCAAAACATGGCCGTCTACCTTAAGTGAGAGGCTTGGTAAGGACAGCATTACTTGGAGAGATACACGGTAACTCTGGATTAGCTGCAGAGGTCCACAGCTCAGGTGGGAGACTGTCAACAAGACAAGTAGTCCTGCAATCAGTCCGGTCTATAAAACAGAGGCAAATACAAAATATATATTTCTTTGCAAATTCTATGTGTAGTGCTGACATGCATGCCATGCGGTATCTCTTGTCAAACCCCCCACAGCAGCCTAATTTTGAAAAGTCATGCCACTGTCTCAACTTGTGATTTATGAATGGCCAGACGGAGCTCAAAGGCAGCTCATCCCTGCGGATTTATGGCAAAAATGTTTTGTGAGAGAGGCTTATGTGCGGTGGAAAACTGTGGAGATGCTTTTTATTCCCAGTAGAGACGGGGAAGCTGGTCAGAGATGGTGGGAAGTTGGATGGTGCTAAAAATAGAGCAATCCTGTAAGGAAACCTGTTATAGACTGTACGATCTGTAACACCTTCCAGCACGAGCATGACGCTAAGCAGCAAGAGCTGCAACTGAATAGTTCAGATCAAAGCATATTCATGTGTTAGAGTGGCAGGGTTAACGTCCAAACCAACTGCTAATTGAGTGTCTGTGGCAGGACATGAAAGCTGATGTTCACTGATGCTCTCTACACGAGTGACAGCTGTAACCACAGTTAATGGTGATTCTTCAAAGTATTAGCTTAGAGGCATGAATGCTTCATACCTTACTTTTCAGACTTCATGAGGACGCCGGTATCCTCATGCTTGATTGGATAACATGTACAGTAAGTGTTTTTTTTGCAGTGACAGTTAAAGAGTCTAACGTGTAAAAACTATTTAAAATTCCTTTCTGCTTTGTAATTTTGAGGCACTTTTTGTAGGTCTGTCTAACCTCTCATAATGTATTGAAATTTGAAATGATAAAAATCACAAAATGTGAAAAAATGAAGGGCTTATTTTCAAATGAAGTGAACAGTGCTACTGTTGTTCACAGTGCCAAGTAATACCCTACCAGTGCAGGCTTATCTGTTTCAGCTGTCCTTTATGTGGGAACCAAAAGTATACAAAACCTGGCAAATCAGATGGTATTAAGTTCACGTCTAGGACATATTACACTGAAGACAGGTGCTTGATCAAAGTGAATCAACGCCTGAGATGCCTGACAGTAGACCCACCCAAAAGGTTACGTCCTGAAAATGTTTGTTGCCTTAAGAGAGAAGAGATGGTTACATCCCGCTGGGATCTGGGCTGCCTGGTAGTATTACTAATAGGAACTAAAAAATGATGTGATGGTTGCGCTAACCCACCTTGTTTCATGCCATCGTTTTATCACCAGGAATCAGTGACCACAAGAAAAATGAAAGGAACAGATTCCAGGTGACAAAAACCAGCAACATGCTAGATTACTTATATAAAACAGTTGGTCACCGTGTCTCCAGAAATCACTTTTTTAGCAGCCCTGCAAGTTCTGCCTTCACTCCATGGACCTAAATCTTCTGTGACCACTTTCGATGACAGGATCAAAAGCAGCCACTTGGCAACATAAACACCTAAGAAATATATTTCTGCAGCCATGACATAGCAAACTGTAAGGATTAAGATACAATAATAACCAATGTTGAGAAATTGTAGGAGTAAGTCATTAATACTTTCAATACTTTGAGGATTTTCTGTCCCATTTTATAAACGTTGCTTGCTGAGACACGCTGAGCTTATGCCTTTTTCAGCTTTTCTTTTTAACAAAAGTGCCAGTCAACAAACAAAATCCAAAAATAATAGAAAGCTTGAAACAAGTTAAGTCTGTTTCCTTTAATACTGCTGTGGTTATTATTTTCCAGCAGCCTTGTTTGATTACTATTTGTAGTTCTTAAGTGCTTTTATTCAGAGTACTTTGACAGTATAACATTAGTCAGCTCTTCACTCAACAGTTTGTAAGGGTAAATGCGGATAGGTGTTTTTGAAATGCTACCGTTATTATTTAACAAATGTACATATTTCACTGTGAAGCTTTGCCTTCTATCAGGTCAGCTGCCGGATGTGTCCTGAAAACAAATATGGACTCCAACAGATGAAGGAGCCTGTTCAGATTTTCCCTTAAATGAAAATGACTTTTCAGAATTGAGATTCTGTTTTTATAAACAAAGATTCATAAAATGATAGGAATCTTTGTTCCTGTAATTTATGAGAAGTCAGGAAAAAAAAAACTATGTAATGGATGGTCTTGGAATATTTTACTTTGCCTTTTACAGATTTTTGTTCAGACTTGAGAAGAACGACAATAAAGATTTAATGCCACTACACAAAGCTGTTTGAATATAGTGCATCTTCAAAAGAAAGTTGCAAACCTTACTGTTGTACGGGGACTAATACAGAGAAATGTTTGATCATAACAGATCAAAGAAGATTAGGGATGTGAGCTGTTTTAGACCTAGAAGGCATTGCATTTCTTGCCTATCTATTTCAAAAGTTCTACTAAAAAACTGGGCACTGCAGTCTTTTTATGTCAGTTTTAAATTATTTCAATTGTAAGGGACAACCATGCCTTGTTAAAGACATGGAATTTGGTGAAAGTGTCTAGTTCTCTGTTTTAAATAATTAAAAATAATAATTAAATAATTCAAATGTTCAAAGTCAAATAATGACAGAGTCTTAAAAGTAGCTGCATGCTCCATTTTTTTAGCTAAAATTTGGAGACTCTTTTTGATGTAGTTTAGTCTTTTTTTCTGTTTGTTTACAATTCCATCTGTCTTCTGAAACAGACCCAGATATTAGCCTATAAATGATACTTGGCTTCAGATTACTTTTATTTTTATTCCTCTAGAGCTAATTCCTACTGCTTTGTAGAAAAAGAAAAAAAAATAACTATCTTCCGCATTTGTTCACTTTTATGTAGTACAACTCTATTCCTATGTTTGGCAGTTTGAAATTTAAAATTATGTTCATTCAATCAAGAAGTTTGTTTCTGGCCACTCAAAAATCTTAATTATGCGACTAATCTAAATAAACATTCTGGATCTGTCTGTTCACATATAGAAATATATAGATTTATATGTAGAACAGAACATTTTTTTCTTTCTTACCTCTGAGTTTTGCTTCAGGTGTCCACAAATGTCCTTTGGAATAATTTTGCGGGTCATTTGGCTGACTACTTACTGAGTTCACTTTGAACTAAATCCACAGTTGCTGTATTGTATTCGGAATTCAAAACAGAAAGAATGAAAGGTGCTTTACCTTTTTAGAAAAAAATGAAGTTTATGCAACTGAACTTTTTCACCACTGAGGTTTGATTGGTTTGTTTTCTTCTGACTTTGCTTTTGTGCTTCCTGCAGACGCCAGAGGAGTTGGAAGATGACTCAGACTTCGAACAGGAGGACTATGACACTCGCAGCAGGACTAGCGTCCAGACTGAAGATGACCAGCTTATTGCTGGTCAGAGCGCTCGGGTGAGTGGGTAATCACTTCCTACTGTGCTACACCTTTTCACATCTGCCCCAGTTATGGAACTTGCAACAAAGAACAACAGGGAAAAGCATATCTATTTTTGTTGTATAAAGCACAGGCAGTCTACATAAAAGTTTTTTTTTGTTTCAACAGTAACAGTAGCTTTTCAGATGTAGTTTGAAGTGATGTCTGTCGTGTTCCCAGCAGCACATGAATCAGCCCGTCCAACGTGTTCCACTTCTGCAGCATTTAACAGATTCTAACAAGCGTCACGATTTGAAATTAGCACCGTTCAGGGATGACAGGTGTAAAATTGCAAATCACAAACAAAGAAGTAATTACCAACCTCCCTTCAGACTCTCCCCAACATGTGACACAAACCTTTGCCAAGGCCCCAGTCGTGATCGCCAGGGCCTGGGCTTTGTTGCACATTAGCAATTTTTCACTTGGGCCCAGCTTAAAGGACATTAAGAGGGTATCAGTGCCTGCTCCCCTCCAGCAACACAGTGTCTAGCGGTGTGCTGCATGTTGAATGGATTGTGAAAGGCAGAAGTGTGACTTGGCTCAATGCCTCTCCCTGTGGCCCAGGCGAGACTCGGTACTGCCTGCTAACATCAGGGTAATCCACTAAAAGGGGGGAAATAAATCCAATCAAATCAGAAGCCTGCTTTAGTTAAAGGTCTGTAATGTGCAGCTACTACCTCCTTAATGATGTCGTTTTTTTATTCTCTGTTGGAAAAATCTCAGTACATGAGTAGAAGGCAATCTTTTCTTCCTCAAGGAGCCATTAGGAGCAATAATGTCAAGGTGTTTAAAGTAATTCATAGGGCCACTGTCAGCAAACTACCTCAGCAATTTAACACATTTTCCATCAAACCCATTGGTCATCCTTAAAATAAGCAAAACCTAAGTCGGCTTCAAAGCCCCATGGTGTATTTGTTTAACTAAAGCATTTTTATAGCCACTATGTCTAAGTTTATAGTTAAGTGGGCATTAGTGTGTTATTCTTTTAGTTTTGTCCACTCTGAAACTTCCAGTTAATGGAGACATGCACATTCTTAACATTTTAGTTTGAGCTGCTGAGCTGATGTTGAGACTTTGACTGGGCCATTCTTTTCTTTTCTTTTCACAGTCTTTCAGAAAGCTGGTGTGCTTGACCCAGTTTGTCTAAAATTGGGTTTCATGCCCCAGTTTTAACATTTAGCTTGCTAACAGACATGTTGAGTCTGAACCGCAGCTTTTGATTTTACCTGGTTTTCTTTGCTGTTTCTTTGAATAATACAGTCTCATTCCGGTATAAATATGCTAGAATATTCCCTTCTGAGAAGGACTGGGAATTGTGTCAAAAGATTTTTCTTTTGAAATTACTTTTTCCACTATAGAACAGCTCTGCACACTCGCTCGAGTTCTGTTTGCAAAGTCTATGTGATAGGAAACAAATGGTGACACTTTAATGGAGCAGTTCTGATTGAAGAAGTAATGACATAGCGATTTTATAAACATTTCTTTGAGATTTTGAATTGCTTCTAAGTTAATGCTTTCTTTCGAAATGTAATATTTTATTTGTGCAGTATAGCTGTGTATACAAAGTGTCTAATTGTATATTGGAGTAGAATGATAATTGGTTTTCAAAATGTTTCACAAAGAATAACCCGCAACGTGTGTCTGTTTTACTTATTTACTTTGGTTAAGTCAGTACTGTGTAACCAGTTTTCTTTGTAGTCAAAACCGCAAGTCTTTTTGGGGAATGTCTCATGAACATTCATTTTTACACTTTGATTTTGTTATCTTTGGCTGGGTCATGTGAATATGTTTTGCCTGAAGCCATCACATTGTAGCTCTGGTTGTTTATTTGGGGCTATTTTCCTGCTGGAGAATGAACCACTGCTGCAGTCTCACATCTCTTTTTTTTTTTTTTTTTTTTTTCCAGAACAACATCTCATCTTATGATCTCTAGCAAACCTCTGAGTCTACATTTGACACAAGTGGATTCTCTTTTGTAATTTGGTGATTCTATTTTGGAGTTTCAGAAAAAACTGGAACCATAAGCAATCACATTCCATGCTTTTTTGTTTTTTTTATTTGTAAAAAAAATAATGTAAGTCAATTACAGTGATCTGCTGTTTTGCATTGGTTCATCTCCAAAAATACATTGAGTTTGAGGGTGTAATAAGACAAAGTATGGAAGAGATGTCTTGGTAATATATCCAAGATGCTTACTAACATGTAAGCATCTTGTTAAACTTTAATAGATAAAGTTTAACCTCAGATCTTTGCAATGAAGAGGAAGTTGTGGCTTCCTCCAAGAAAGACTGTGGGGGTTCTGGGTGTGAAGTACTTTGGTTTGTTGTATTTGTACTCCCACTAGGGCTCCTGCAGTGTAACATTGCAGAGCCATCTGAGCTAAGATGCACCAACACTTGTACACAAAAGAGCTTTACAGTACCAAACTGTTAACTAGTTTTTCTGGCACTCAGCTAAGCTGTGAGTGGGCAGCGCTATTTGAGAACAGTTTTAAGTTGCAAAGTGTCCCATTTCTCGTGACTTCTGACTGTAATACAGCGATGCAGAGCGGATTAAAGTGCATTAACACATGTTGCAAATATGTTTGGATAAATAAAAAAAAAAACGGATGATATTTTTCCTACTTGTACATATTTTTTTTTTTAAATTCCCCTGTAGTAAATATCTGGCATACTGACAGTATTTTTCACAGCTAGATGTGTGCTGTTTTTCTACCAGCCGACAGTGTCATGGCCTCTGAGATTAAAATTTAAAACACGCACAGGGCAAACACATCCATAAAAGATGTTTTTTTTGTTTTGTTTTTTTTTTTTGCTGTAAAGTAGTGGTGATTTGCACAATCTGCTCCAGTCTGTGGTGTTAGGATAAAGCTCGCTGTCCTCTTACGGTCATGCCAAGTCCACGCTGGTGCTCCGTCTTCTCTTTCAAACAGACAAGGAAAGTAATCCATTTTCTCCATAGGAGCTGACATGAGCACACTGAGGTTTACAGTTGTGATCCCTCCAAGCCCATCCAGTGCACAGATATCATACAAAGGACGCTTATGTGATATCTCAATTCTACTCTGCCTCACTGTTCTCTCAAGTCTTTTTGTAACATCAAATCGAGTTTAAGGCTTTCTCGGGAGCTTATTCTGTTTGTGTTTTGCCCTGCAAAGGGCTTCACCTTTTGCTTTCTTTTTGAGCGCGAGATGATATATATATATATATATATATATAAAGAAATATAAAAACAAAAAAAGGTAAATTATAATTCTAAGGAATCTAAACAAAACCTTCACTTGTGTGACATGCCATGGATGGTTCGCAGGCAGTCAAACACACTGTAAACATTTTTAAACGCTGTGATTGGATAGCTTTGCTGATAGGTCATCCATAAAATTGAACTCTGAGTGTCTGGGCAGTTTATTTCAAATGAAAGAAATTAAAGTCATTTCAAAATGCCGCACTTGGTGAAGAAACCCGGAAAGCGCTCTAATCCCCGCAGACGTAGCCTAGTCGCAGAGTGTATTGGCGCTGCTCTCCCTCGGCTGGATTTGCCACTATGTTAAGCTCCCAAGGCCCGCTCCTTGTTGTTATCAGTAAAGAAGGGGAAGGGATTTGGGGATAAGTGAATTCTAGAGAGCTACTGGGGGAGGCGGCTGAGATGGGGTGGGGGCTGGGTGCAGCACCATTGCTGTGCTCCTCTGACGTCCCAATTGGCTCATGTGTTTACCCCTGTGCTGTGCAGCTTTCCTTTGTGTTCACAAACCCTTTCTCTGCCTTTCCTCCCTGACAGGCTCTCTTTTGTCACACCATTTTAGAAGTGAATTGCTATACTAACCAAATCCCTGACTCTCTCTCCCCAACCCCCCTTGAACCTATTTTTCAGTCAGGGAATTTTCAGTCTTTCTCCCCGAGACTTTTAGCTCCTTTTATTTGTGTGGGGGAGCAGCCTGCCCTGATTTAATGCGCTTCTTTTGTATAGAGATTGCAGTGAAGATTCCTTATTTGACTCAGAGAATTAGCCACACATAGAATTATTAATAAATCTCTGTTTACATTTGCACTGTCTGACTCAGAGCATTGGCATTAAGCAAATATCACACATGGCCATATCTATGATACCAGCTGTATACACTTTAGAGTTATTATAGAAATGAGTGAGTCATCGATTGCTTTAACAGTTGGACACGGGGACTATATGAAAACTCAATATGTGAAAGACAGCCCTACTGACCTGAACTCAGGCGGTTCCGATGAATGTCACAGCACAGTCAACCGAGCTCCTGGTGATTAGGCAGCAATTACCGAGCAGCTTTGTTTACATTATATTTTTGCCCACATTGGACATGAGCATGTAATCAGCAAACCACACCCCAGGGTGCCACTGGCATACCCAAACTTCAAGCTGAGCGCACAAGAGCTTATGAAGAGTCAGTGGGCTGAAATTAGCTTTGTTGTGTTCACAGAAACGCTGCAATAAAACTGGTTTTAGATGAAAACAGAAACATAAATAAAACATTTTTAAGTCAGAGTTATTCTTGTTGATGGCAAAGCACTTAGGGAGGATTATAAAGAGTATCACATTCTATCTAAACTGAAGTTTAATGTTACGATGAAGAGCTTTATGTGTAATATTAAGTCCTGCCACGTTTATGAAGTGTGTGTTCTGTTAACGTGTGCCATTTTGTATCGAGTGCAAGTATTAGGATAGAAGGTTTGAAATTCACCATATTCTGATTCATCAAGACATGGTATGCTACTTTCTCGTTTTTTATTTGGGTGGGGCGCTCCCCTTCCTAACAACACAAGGACAAATATAGAATGCCATAAACAGAATGTGTTAATGCCCCCAAATGGTTTAATATTCATTAGCTGAATTATTTTGAAAGGTGAAGAGTTGTTATATCATTTCACGGTAAGAAAAGTGCAGTGGAAAAATATTTACCGTGTGTTTAGTTACTATTCAGATTTCCTGTTTTTTTTTTTTTTCTTTGTTTGTTTTTATTTTTCCTTTTTGGTTTTTTTTTTAGTATCACATAACCTGAATAAATCTATAAAAAGCCTCAAATTAGTATTTTATTTATCAATGAAAAAATATTCATCCAAACCAAAATGGCACTATGTGAAAAAATAATAACACCGCAAGTTAAATCATGAATTAACTGCGATTAAGCACATTTTTTTTAGTACAGTTTTACCAGTCCTTATTAGAAAGTGAATTTGCTGGAAGAAAGCATTTTAATACTGTATTAAAACAAGGAATGTGTTACAGAGCTGACACTTTAAGCTGTCTTTTGTATATTTGATTGCAGATTAGTAAAGTTCACATTATCTACTGTAACAACCAGCCTCTGTGTGTATTCCCTAAAGCATGTTGATCCCTTTTCGCTGCAGAAAAATTAAACGTCTGTGGAAGAAATCTTAAGTGCACGTACTACACTTAAATAATATTTCAGTGTTCTTTAGTAACTCAGTTAAGGAAACGAAGGTTACACATTTTTCTAACCCCGTTTCAAAGAGCAGATGTAAAACTAAATTTTTATTCCACATTATCAGGGACATCATTCCTCCTGCTATACATCCTGCTCCCATATCTTCAATTGAGGACTCCTTTTTTTTTTTTTCCTTTTTTGTTGAGGTTAGAAATGTGAGCAAAAATATCTCTTTCTCAGCATCTGCATTGGTGTTTGCTGTCCAGCTCAGCCTGTTATCTGAGACAGCTTTGCACATGTTACTTTACTGAGCCAAACTTATTGGTACATTTAAAGCCTCTTGTTGCTCTCTGAACATTTTAACAAATAGTTTTCTTCAGAGGAATCTCATAGTGCATGAATTCCAACATGACTATAGTCAATGTTTAAACTGGCCTTGAGGTATTGTTCCAAAAATGCTGTCATCCACCCACCTTTTAAAAAAATACAGTTGCCTTGACTTCAGCTCATTGATACTTAAAAATAGCTAATATTGAGTCTTCTTTCTTCAGAAAGAACGTTCGCACTGAAGAATGTCGTTGCAGCCTTTTAGCTTAGAAACTTTGCATTCATTGACTGCCAAAATAATGAACATTTGAGTTTCTTCACAGCTGATTAAACAAAATAGAGTGACTGAGTGCGGTCACCAGCCAATCTCTCTCTTTATCAATAATTTTGACTCAAATTATTTACCTTAAAAAAAATTAAAAACCTGCTCGACAAACAGAGAACTTCTCAAAATAGAGAACCTTACCACAAAGTCCTAACTTTGAGGTAAAGTTAGGACTTTTGAAATGATGAATGAAAAGGCAGATATAAAAAAAAATATTGCATGTTCATCTTATGCGGGTCAAAATGAGTAAATTACAAAACATTTGCAAAGCAGAAGATTCATCTTGACCAATCTGTATGTTTCTCAGCTATAGAAAAATCCCAATTGAAAAGCAAGGGAGGGACAACCATTACTGCATGAAACGATTACTTGTTTCTTTTTCCTAGCATATACTTTTCATTAAAAAAACAACTTGAATGTAAATAACTTAAGGGCTTTGTCTAATTACTGAGTTAATCTACAGCAGGGTATTTAATATGTAAAGCAGTCATATATATTAGATGTTCAATTATTGATTAAATGAATAAGAGTACTGCTGGCCCAGATCCCCGAATTCACAACAACTCAAAGCAACACACACACACACGCCCCGCAGTGGTAATATGTGATGCCTTGCTAAAAATCGAATGTGTGTTTTAAATAGTTCCTTCCTTGCTGTGCAGTCTAAATACATATTAACTTGGTATTTGTTTTAAATGCAAGCAGTGTTTTCACCCCCCATGCTGTTTAATGGGATTTGCCTCCATGCTGTTGTTTGTGTGTCCTGGCACGAGCAGCAGAGGAAATCTACACTGGGCTTGAGGGGGCTACTTTAGCTTGTTTGTTTATGCCAGGCATTTTTTTTCTTTTTCTTTTCAACTAACCACCATGAATGCGCCGCCGCACTCGGAGAGCGATCAGAAGGCCTAAACTCATCGACGCACCCGTTAGCCGCTGATGAGAAAGCTGGGCCTCTACGCCTTTCTGTTTATGCCTGTAATTTCAATTTTCTGTTTCCCATTGTGGCTCTCCCTCCGTATTTTCTCTGAAAGAATTTCAGGGGGACAAATAAACCACTTTTTTTTTTTTTTTTTTTTTCACCTGACACGTCTACCAGCAAGCAAAGTGACTCGCATCTCACTGTACCCCATCTCCCTCCCCCTAACACACACCAACTATCTTGTGAGAGAGTCAGGAAGGAAAAGGGATAAGGAGGACTTGGGTTTTTATAACAGGAAAAATGACAGTTCTTTGGAGGACAGTGATTAATAGGTGAGGTTAAAAAACTAATAGTGACTTTTCTGTTTTTTCCACTGTACTCGTTTTCAATCTGTGCTTCTGGAGTCAATATAATCGACCTAATGGAAACCAGGTTACTCTTCCTTCCACCTCACCCTGCTGACATAATGTTGAAGAAATGCATTATTCATTCTCTGGTCTTAGAGGCAAGGTAATTATACATTTATCTTCCAAATAATACTAGGTCCTAACTGTGCCTGTGACCTCGCCACAAGATTTATGCCATTTTGGACCTGCCCCCAAAGGCTGCTAAGAGAGGAAATGTATTTTCACAGCCGGGAAAAAAAAACTATGAAGGCAAAAAATGGATTTGCTTTTATGGGTATAAGATGTCAAGGGTTTTGAAAAGGTCCCGTCATTAAATACAAAGTCAAGAACTTTATTTGAAAGTGTTCTTAAAGGGCAAGATGATAGAATTAATGTTCAAGTTTGTAGTTATGCAGTTTCTTAAAGTTTAAAAAAAGGGTGCTTTCGTCCTCCTTTTACCTTCATGCAGTAGGCACTTCTACTTACCTAATCCCTCTACTTCTTCAACGTTTTCTTCATTTTCTATTCTTCCCTCTTCTCTAGTCTTATCTCTTCCTCAATTCCTTTCTCTTATATTCCTTCTCCTGAGTCATGTTGCCAATTTATTCTTCTAAGTTTTACCTTTCTGGCATCTCCTCTACCACTTCTGATGCTTTTGTTTTTCTGTGTTGCCTGCAGGCCATCATGGCACAACTTCCCCAGGAGGAGAAGGCAAAGATTGCCGAGCAGGTAGAGAGCTTCAGACAAGAGAAGTGCAAGCTGGATGCAGAAGTGGCCAAATGGGACGACAACGGCAATGACATCATTGTGCTGGCAAAACAGATGTGTATGATCATGATGGAAATGACCGACTTCACCAGGTAAAATCACCACCTAAAATGTCATTATAAAACATTCAATGATTGTGTGTACGTTTACTCGTCTACATTAAAGTGCCAACATGCAAAATGCAGCGTGACAAACATTTAACATCGTTCACCCTAAATTCACTATTCCCACAGTAAAACAAGGCAGTGGCTGCGTCAAGATGTGGGGATGTTTTTTGTTTCTTTTTTTCAGACGATTCAGACTTTGCTGGAGCAGTTTTTATATCAGAATAGCCGAAAATGTCAGTATCAACTCGAGTTGAGACAAGAGGACCAAAGACATGCAGCGTTTTTCAGAATGGATTTCTACAATTTATTGAACATTAATCTGAATTGCTCTAGCACATAAAATCCTTTGAGAATACACTGAGGTTTGCGCTCGTAAGATGATGAAATCTGAAAAAGTCAAAGGGTTACCAGTACTTTTGGAAGACACTGTATATTCAGCAAAAAACTTTTCTGATTTCCTCCATCTAGGCCTGGGAAATTTCCCCCTAAACAGTCTGATGCTTGCTGACCCAGTTCATTGAGTTGTGATCCCTTGCAGTTAAAAAACATGGGATAAAACAGAAACAAGTCACTAATTACAGATCAGAGCAGTGATTCGTCATGAGTGTGTGTGCCTGTGGTGCTATGACTGCACCATTAATACTTGATGTTGACCACATTCAGACTGGCACATGCAACACATATTAGCTTGTCACTGAACAACAATCACACGTAGCACACAAATGTCCTTAGTGGTCACAACTAAACAGTAGCATAATATGAAGCGTTACTATCAATGCTAGTAGCATCAGTGCTGCTATCTCAGCGTAGCATTGAGCTAGTAACATGGCCAAGACGTCATTATTAACACAGGAAACCCATTCCTGAAATAAGCTTTGTTGTATTTAGCATTATTAGCAACTAACCACTTTTGTGGTTACCTGCGGATTCACTAAACCGATTAGCCGGAAGTCATCATGATCTTGTTTAGCAGCTCCACAGCAAGTACAGTGACGCAATAGATAAGAAAACATTACAGGCAACAGAGAAGTATGAACAGACTGAAAAATATAACCCAAAAATAATGTAGATATTTATGCAGCACCAGGAGAGAATATTTTATTTTTTTTGCACTTGTAGACGCTAAACAAACAAAAAAGAGCTACAAAGTGGATTTTGCATGATACAGCTCCTTTAAAACACAATCTAAAAACTTGCCTTGTGTTAAGCGCCCTTTATTAGGATACATTTATATAAAATGCAGTGCAGTCTTTTGTCTGACTTTGTGTAATTTCTTTTCAGTAATACTGCAAATGTTATGTGAACTGCTGATTCAGTTATTAGCACTGTTGTCCGGTTTCAAGAAAGTTATAGGTGCACATCCAGGCTTGGCGTTTTTCTGTATGGAGTTTGAATATTTAGTCCATGCATGCATGACTTCTCTACTGACACCCCAGTGATACCGCCCCCCTCTTCCCCCCCCCCCTCCACAGTCCAAAAACCTGCTAGATAGTTGGTCTCTCTAAATTACCCTTAGGAGTGAGCATGTATCCATGGCTGTTTGAGTTGTGTCTCTTTGTGATGCTCCGCAATGAAGTGACATTTCTAGGGTATACCCCAACCTCTTGTCACCTCTCATTTATTCTGGCTCAGACAACTCTTACAGTTTCCCTTATGGTGTATTGTCATATTGTGATACTAATGACTATACAATAAATTGTACAACCCTAATCAACAGTTTAGGATGGGGAATTTATGTACAAAGGCGTGCATTTCTGAAATCTGGCTATTAAAATGAAAGCTAGTTCCAAAAACAGGCCGTTGAAAGACAAGACAAGGCAAAAATGTCACTCTACTGGTGAAACTGGTAAAGGCCCCCAAAAAACGTAAAATACATTTATCATTTATCTTATGCTTTACAATTATGCACTGCTTTGTGTTGGTCTATCACAATAAATATCTCAAATACTTAGAAGTTTGCTTATGGTTTCATTTACAAAGCACTACCTAGTTCTGACTTACATATTTACGTATTTTCAGACTTACATATTTATCCTTCAGTTTTCTTTTCCGTATGAAAAATACATATTTTGCTGGGGTTTTTTTGGTGGATTTCATGTCTTGTGTTACTGGTGCTATACTCAGTCTTAAAGTTTTTCATTATCTATGGCTTTAATTCTTCGCTCACAGTCCTTTGTTTCTTTTCCTTCCTACAGAGGAAAAGGCCCCCTGAAGAACTCCTCAGATGTGATCAACGCAGCGAAGAAGATTGCAGAAGCCGGTTCCAGGATGGACAAATTGTCTCGCGCTGTTGCAGATCAGGTAGCTCCATAACTTAGTTTGTGTCTGTCACTATCACTCTTTGTCTTAATGCATTCCTGGGGGTTGTGAGTGTGTACCTGGTGGAGTCCAGGCAGCTGGCAGGAGAGCAAATTTTTAATTTAGAGTAAGTGGGCATAGCCAATGGAAATCTTTACTGTGAGAGTTGATGAGCGTAGCTGGAGTGGTAGAGCTGTGCTGCCGGATGACTTTGTCTCCCAATGGAGCCCACACAGAGAGAGCAAGACAGCAGAACCAAGTTGTGTCTCTAATATAATTAGCTTCCAGCCGAGGTGATGCATTCATTATCAGATGAGTACCTCTCTAAAACATGCTGACAGACCATTTTCAATATCTAATCAATCAGTTCTGGGCTGAGGGACGACGGGAGTGAAAAGAAATAGGTGTTTATGCAGTGTAGGTGTATGTACACATAATGAACTGGGAGGTATTTCACAACTCTCCCTCCAGGTAATGCATAATGTTCTTTTTCATTTCATCTGCCTCTAATAGGAAGTAGTGATGCCTTGGCCTCCAAACCCACTGATATGCTGAGACTGCCTGTTGTCTTTGTAATTGCAACTGCTGTTGGCTTGCAAAGCCTTGGAACAATTACTGTTGGTTTCAATATCACTTGCTGAGCGTCTGTGTTAGCAGTGTTGAGAAGAAGAAATGTTTGACCAAAATCATCTTTTAGAATTGAAATGATTGCGTGCAATTTTGCAGCCACTGCAGTCACGATGAAGTCTACAAGTTTTTTTTTTTTTTTTTTTTTTTTTTTTTCAAGACCCCTTGGTTTAATAAATATTTTTTGGGTCTTCCTTTATTTCTACTTCTTTTTTTATTTTT